TCACAGACAAAAGTGCTAAATAATAGGCCTGTTGCTCGGATTGGCTGAGTCCAAAAGACCTTGATACTTTCTCATCCAATTAAAACTCACCTTTAATGTTGTTGCCAAACTTTAAAGCTGTGAATGTAGAGCAAGCCTAAGCAGCATGAACTAGGTCTTCAGCTTAGCCTTAGTCTACATCTTATTTGCTAAAATACTGCTGTCGGGTTAAAGTAATTTCATTGACTCTCCTCTGCATGATGTGATATATGTTTTAGTTGATTGTGTATGACCTGACAAGTTGACTTTTTGTTTATAATGTTCATAAATATTTACAATTTCAAAACAATATAATCAATTATGTGTTAAAAATTCAGGATGGGATGTGCATCATGCAAAGACCTATGCCTAAAGTATGCCTGCTTACTTTACAAATCATTCCAATGGATATTCCATCATTTCACTTCTGTCAAATAACTCCTTTGCACAAAAAGCAGAAAAAAAATTGCAAAATGAATGGGCAAATGATTGTGTATTAGAGTTACATACAAATTAGGTAGAGACTTAAAATTGATAATTAAAAATTCATATAATGTAAAAAGTAACTATTTATATGACTGTCCCATGCCAGAGGCCCTGACACATTCCTGACTGTTTCTAACCATTAAAGTCACACAATGTCATATTTAATTGTTAACTAATATTTATTACCACAAATATAATATATAGCTGTGACTCAGTACTGTCCTGCTGCATGAACAAGTTCTTTCAAATTGTGTCAAAAATAACATTATTAGTATATATACTCTGACAGGAAAAATCCACAATGAACAACAGCAAAAATGTGATTTTATAATAATATTTTTTTATTATTATTATTATTAATAAGAAGAAGAATATTTATCATTAAATACTGTTGATTGTATTATAAGTTTAGGTAAAGGTATTTAGGGACATCTCCCTATAAAAGTTAAGAGAGAATAATCTACTATTGCATGTTTCTGTGTCTATTTATATGTATGTTTCTTAGCTATTTATTGTTAAAGGCCTTGTTTACACATTTGGTAATGTCAGAATTTTTCAATCATTGTACAAAAGACAAAAGAGAACATATACTTACACAGTGTAAAAACAAAACAAAACTCTGCAATTTCACTGTACAAGCATAAAACCACCATGCATCTGCATCGTTTGATTTGTCTCTACCAATATTAAGACCAAGTCTTGCAGCCATGCCTGCTCAATATACACACACAAACACAAAATATTTTCATCACACTAATGTAAATAATTAGTCTTTAATGTCCCTACCTTTATTTTTGAAACTCTCCCTTTTGTAGAATCCCTGTGACAAAGAATTGTGGATTAAAAGCTCCAAAGGATGGGCCCCTTGGTTTCAAAACTCCACAGACCAGATAAAACCCTCTCTCCTTCAGCAAGCATTGTAAAACTCAGACAAGTGCCTCCAGATAACATCATTCAATGGCTTGCCTCATTCTTCCTCTCCCTCCCAAGTTTCACTCTCACTCTGAAAATAAGTGAGGCGGGTTAGGAGGAGTTTATAGTCCATCTGAAATTCAAACTAATAGTTCATTAGCCTATGTGGATTACGGTCTGTGGATTAGAATGGAAAGAGACTTGTCACAGTCTATTAGCGTAAGTCTGCTGTGGGTCAGATCAGTTATCAAAAGGGCACTGCACGAGCAACAAGCTCCTGCTAAGAATGCATTACCTTCTGTCACTCCATCTTTATCTTGCTTTCTGTCAGAAATCAGCCATTCAGAATTAAAACTGTTTCATGCTGTTGTTCTTAATTTATATGTTTCTAACTTTTTTAACAAATACAAATTGTGCCAAGCTATGATTTATTAGTTATCTATCATGTTAGTAGTGATAAATTTAACATTTTAATTCACTATTTTATGGATGAGTTGGAGCAGATGTGAAGGAATTTCATTTTCATTTTACATGTTTTATGCATGTAATTTCATGGTCACATTATATTTTGTGAGAAAGTAAGTTATTTACTGGTTTCTCCATGGTGATGTACAGTGAACTTATTACAGTGACAGTTCCCCTTGAGTAACCTGAGGTTAAATACACACACACACACACACGTTGGGTTTTCATGTTTTGTGGAGACTTTCCATAGATATAATGATTTTTCTGCCGTACAAACTATTTTATGCCCTAAACACAACCCTCACAGAAAACTTTTACACTTTCAAAAAAAAATTAGAAGCTCCACAAGGATTATAAACCAACAAGGTCAAAAATTTAAGGTTTTACTATACTTGTGGAGACATACTGTAATGTAGGGTTTACCTGGACCACACGCACACATGCTTAGTTACCTTAATGAGGACAAACTATAGGCTTCTGCTGTTTTATAAATATAACTATAACACAAATAGTGCAGGATGTGTTACACACAGGTTCCTATGCAATACACTTTATGCCCTCATTATTTGTATTGCTCTCTCAGTCAAAAATCCAAAACTCAGAATCAAAATTGTCACAAAATGCATATGAATATGATTGAAATTTATATATTTATTTTGTTGACAGATAAATAAATATATATATATGTGTACAGTATATATATATTACAAATATTTTAAAAAGCCCTCAGTGAGTGATGGTTAGATTTAACTCTATATTTACAGCCTGTTAGGTTTCATTATGTTAGAAATCGAAATATGTTCAAATATGTTAGGTGTTTAACTATTACAGTAATTCGTTCTTTTGCTGCCAAAATAGTTCTCAGCACTGACTCGCTGAGTCATGGACCCTTCAAGTGGTGTCCTATGGTGTCAAGCACCTAAACATTAGCAGCAGATCGGGCGTCCACGTGATGCAAGAGAAAACAGGACTCATCAGACCAGCTGACCTTCTTCAACTGCTCCTAGGTCCAGTGTGCCCATTCTAGAAGGAAGATTGTTCAGTTGCTAGTACGCTCTAAGAAAAGTCTGTAAAAATACTGCTCAGTTTACTGTGTCAATATGAAGGATCTTTCTGTATTGATTTTTACAGGTGTTATATTTTGAATTATGCATTGCATTTTTGCTGTGTTTTAGGTTTGAAGGAAACCTTAAATTTAACGGAAAATGTACTGGTAATTTTCTGTCAGGACATTATCCATTTTTCTATGGATTTTTACATTTTTACAGTGTAGCCATAGTATTTTATTTTATTTATTTATTTTTTTAACTTATGGAAGTCAGGGGGTACCAGTTTGGTCAGCACACCTTGGTTGCCAACATTCTTCACAATATCTTCTTTTGTGTTTAACAGAAGAAAGAATATCATACAGATTTGGAACAAACAATGATTATAGAATTTTCTTTTTTAATAATGATAATAATAATAATAATAATAATACATTTAATTTAAGGTGCCTTTCAAATCATTCAAGGTCACCGTACATCAGGAGCAATAAATAAAACAGCAATAAATAACAATAAATAGCAATATACAGCCCTGAAAGTCAGCAGAGACCAGGACAACTAGATAAGCCCCAGATACAGATCCCCAGTAAAGACCTTGTCTCAGACG